AAAATGGATTCTTTTCAGACTTCCTAGCACTTCTAGTGGTATGAAGATGTTATGGTTGGCTATGTCTACCGTTAGACTCAATGTAATTATATGTGAAGCAACAATTCCCTTATCTATTAGGAACACTTGCTGAGGCTAACTGTAGTTCACTGTTTGGCAGATGAAATACAGAATTAAAATCTCACACTACTTTTCAAGGTTTTTTTTCCGCAGTCATTTTAAAATCTTTTAACCTAGGGAAAGATGGTAGCCAGCAAAGAATGGAAAACAGATGGTATTTAAAGGCCTTAGCAAGATTAACCGAGCAGATGCTGCTGTACGTTTACCCCTTACTCATTTCTCAAAGAGTTCTTTCCTGTTATGATTAATTGGTGATGGATCCAATGCTTTGGATCTCCTGAGGATTGCCACAATTAAGATAATCGTTGATAGTTAGAATGTTAAACTGAAAATCAATAGATAATTGGCTTTGATCACAACCTCATATCGTCTTATCTAAACAGGAGGGTTAGCTATATAGGTTATGCAAGTCATTGGCAGAGAATACACTAAGTCTAGCTCTTGAGTGGGAATATCGTTCATTGTTTAGGGTACCAAGGAGAAGGGGAGAAGGGCTGAAAGAAATAGAAACAGATGGCAGTTGAGGTAATTGAGATACGGTATAGCTTAAAGGCATCCTGGAATGCCACATAATAGTACTAGCGTGAAGAGAAGAGACGTATTCTGCGCAACTTCATTTCACGTGTAAGCTGAGCCTGCTCAGAATGACAATTCCTCAAGGGTGAGAGGGGATGCAAAAGATTTGAGCTAGTATCAGAGAATGGTAGGAACAGATTCCCCCACTACAAGGGTTCACTGGAGAGAAGGAGGCCCAGGCTTTAATAAAATACTAGAAAATCCAGTGTATGCTGTTAGGAGAGAATACTAATATTGGGATCAATAGATCGAGCCAAATGTGTTGCCTTCATCTTTTCATTAAGTCACACTATTATAGCAAGGGAGAGGTGTTTTGATGTAGTCGTGGTGGTGGTTGTAAGCATCTCACAGCTGAAAATGCCTTCCTTAGAGCTCTGAGAGGGCAAGGAAAGGCGGGACAGTGAGGGGCAGAGCTATAGAGTGAAGTTTTGCATTCTGCCTCCATCACTGCTGACCACATTGCCCTTGGCAGTGCCTTAGACTCCCCAAGCCTCACTTTGTTCACCTGTAAAATGGCCATGATGATACTACCTCATGAGGCATTTGAGCTAAGCCAGTGCCCACACATGTTTAGTTACTGATAAACAGTAGCAGTATCATTAATAGGTTTGCACAGCTTAGCAGTTTTTCCACCAAGCACACCCTGAGGAGGATATTCATGGATGTAGTTTTTCACTGCACCAGGAAACCCATCTCGATGGTTACTGTGAGTGGTTAAAATTCCCTCATATTCTGTAAGCCAGGAAAAACTGTTCTACGTTACCACCTGCTCTCTCTTGGTTCCTAGGTATATAAATCATGTTGTGTGTTTAAACAGAAGTTAAAATCAGAACATTTCCTTGAAAACACTTTCTGGTTACAATATCATACTGACTCAAAGAAGGTTTTGGGTTTGTTTTTTTACACAGATCATTACACACTTATGAATCATTTGCTAAAAACAGTGGTTTCTCCTAAATGTATTAAAGCCAAATTAATTTATAAAATTTAGATCCCTTTAAAGTTAAGACACTCACATCCTTGACTATAGGCTATTATTATCTAAGAGGTTAAAGTATATATCATATGTACAAAGGTAACGCCAGTGATTTATCAATAGTGGATTCTTCTACATAGTAGCCATCCTCTACACCCTAATATAAATGGCTCACTGGAAGTTATAACCAAAACCAACAAAAGATGCAAACGAATCCTGATTTATCTTAATATTAAATTTTTACAGTACTTTTTGAGCTATTTTATAAATTAATTTCAAAATAGGTAAAGCAGTAACACTGAGGTTTAGCTAATTATGTGTAAATTAAATATAAGCATTTAAAATAACCATTTTAATTAAATACAAGACTCAGTCAACTAATCATTAAAAGTGGAATTGGCAGCTTGAGATTTATCATTCTGAAACTACTTGCACCACTTTTCTAGTGAATTCTTTCCTCTACTTAAATGAAAGACAAAATACATCTCCCCAAAGTGGCAGCTAGTGAAAGTTAACCCTTTCTTGAGTCATTGTCAAGTTGAAATGGAATCCGAACAACAACAACAACAAAATTACTTTGCTACAGTCTCTTAGATCCAAAACTGTAGTTACTATTTGCTAAACCATTTTCAACTTGACTTATATTCTAGTTCTATAAACATATAAGAAAAGCCATAACCTTTGTAACAGGATTTGTTACTACAAAAAAAAAAGATATATTTTATAAGAAAAAAATTGTACTTAAAAATTTTTTTAACATTTATTATTAATTTTTGAGAGACAGAGCATTAGCAGGAGGGGGGAGAGGGAGCAGAGAGAGGGAGACACAAAATCTGAAACAGGCTCCAGGCTCTGAGCTAGCTGTCAGCACAGAGCCTGATGCGGGCCCAAACCCACAAACTGTGAGATCATGACCTGAGCCGAAGTCGGACGCTTAACCAACTGAGCCACCCAGGCACCCCAGAAAAAAAACTATAGTTTTAATAGAGGAAGAATAATCTGAATAATTTGTGATTTAATTTTTAATGAAAATAATAGTTATTACAACTTCAAGAATAATGAAGAATAGTGCTTTGAATAGTTCCATTTTATATATAGTAGCTATATCCTTCAAACTTTATATTTGTAAGAATATAAAAATATCTTGCTATGTTCAAATTTGTCTATGGTAATTTGCATATGTTTAAAAAAAACAATGGCTAGTTTTTATAGTGCAATGTCATTATCACTTAGCATAAACCCTGACACCTGGTAGATCTTAATAAACATTTTTAGATTGTGTAAATATATCGATACATTTTATAAAATATCTTTTAAAAGGTTCTCTTTTAAAAACTATTGACTAGGGCGCCTGGGTGGCTCAGTCAGTTGAGTGTCCAAATTCAGCTCAGGTCATGATCTCACACTAGTGAGTTCGAGCCCCACATCGGGCTCTGTGCTGACAGCTCAGAGACTAAAGCCTGCTTTGGATTCTGTCTCCCTCTCTCTCTGCCCCTCCTCAACTCGCACTCTGCCTCTCTCTCTCTCTCTCTCTCAAAAATAAACATTAAAAAAATTAAAAGCTATTTATTGTTATGTCGTACCTTCTACATGCTCCAAATAGCAAATAAAGTTGAAGTGCATCCGTTTAGCCCTCTGAGAGTGGGATGCTTTTCTGGTAGCCTGCGATCTATTGCTTTCTGTATTCTGGAATTAGTATAGACATGAAGAATCCAAAAGAGAGCAGTGCCTCTGCTGTCTGAGAAAGACTGATTTAAAGGCGAATTAGCTTGTTTTGTTCCTTGTGCTAAATACCTGCGATTACTGATTGTCACATTTTTCTTCTGTTGCAGAAACTGAGCTCAATGAAGGCACCACCCTTAGGGGATGAGTTCTGCAGTGTAACGAATGTTGAGTGCCCTCTTGAGTTTAGCATTTTAATTATTCATAATTATAGTGATTTCTGTTTATTTGCGAACTTTGGAAATAATTCCATTTTCTCAAACAGATTGAGAAGCAGAGTGGTTGAGGCTTGGTTGTGCTTGGTCTTATGTCGAGGTCAGCAGGCCTAGGGGCATGTGAGAATTTCTCAAAAGCAATGGAATCCAGTTGTCTGGCTTTAAGTGGACGCTTGATGCGTGCCATGTCCTGAAATAACTGAATGTACCTTTTTCTAACAACTCTCTGGTTTCTCTAGGACTGTTTGGGCAATAATGGGATGGTGAGGTGAAGAGTGGACAAGGATTCAAGCAGAAGAGCTAGAAAAAAATATCTGAAAGTGGGTTAATCAGAGAAGAAAACACAAGAGATTCAGTAGCTGCCTATTAGCCAAGTGTATACAATTTTAAGGTCTTTTCTTTTCCTTGGAAAATGTGTGTGTGTATGTGTGTGTGTGTGTGTGTGTGTGTGTGTGTGTTGCACCCTAAATACATTTGCATACAAGGGACCCAGGTAAAGACGAATATTCTAGCCATTTTGGGTAAGAATAATCTTCATGTCTACTATTTGCAAATTTGTATTAGTTATAATGACATATTGGGACTGGGCTCCTACAATCTATTTAGATTCATATACACTCTTATAATAGCCTGAGAAAACAATGAAATATTACTTTGAAAAAAAAAAGAGTTTGACACTGCAAACCTGTTTCATTGCAAATTTCATTTTCTCATCTCTTTCTTTATTTTTTTTTTAAATCTCTCCAATACAGCACTTTGGTTTTAGAGCCAAACGTGTACTCTGCAGCTAGAGAATTACTCACGTCTCCTTGTATTCTCTATTCAACTTAGTAAGAAGCAGCAATTGCTTAATGTATTCAAGTAGTTGCACAGGTAAAAGTGATTGATATGGATCATCATATTGGCTATAAAAGGCAGTCTGAAGATACACAATGTGTAGCAGTTTTCAGGAGAGTACACTTCACCTCTCACCTAAAAAGTTCTGCAGCCGGATCAGAAGCAACGTTCTGCTGCAAGAACATTACCTGAAAATGCATGTGGGTAGCCCCCAATTTATAAGACCATCTCTAATCAAAGGGAATTAGCAATTACGTCTTCCAGGGTTCAGCTGAAATATGAGCTCTGCTGCTATTCGTCAGCAAATTGTTTAATAAAGGAACTAAAAGTATCATTTTTTAAAAAAGAAAGAAAGAAATGTTCTGATCATCCAAGATATACCTCTTCTTCTTACCATAACAGAGTTTTAACCACAGCCACTAAGAAGCAGCAAAATAAATAAATAAATAAATAATGATGATGATGCTGATGATGACGACGACGACGACGACGACAATTAAAACAAGATAAAAGACTGACTGGGAAATATCGCTTGTCTCTGTCCCCACCCCCAGGTGCTAACAAGCAGGGAACAAGCCAAAAGGACAGGCAGTAGGTGAGAAGAGGCCATGGAATGTCCACCAACCAGATAATCATCGCTGGATCATCGAGAAGTGTCTGAATGTAGGTATGTGTACCAAAGACTTCCTTGCTATCCCTTACCGAATGCCCCGTACCCCACCCCACGTGTTCTACATCTACCGTCTCATCAGCCTTTTGAAAGCACTACTTGCAATGACACGGTGCAAGTGCACACAGACACACTGCCTCTTAGAAACCCTTGGTGGCTCTCCCACAGGAGATCCTCCCTCCTCTCCCGGCTTTTCAAACACTCCACAAAATAACTTTATACTGTTCCCCAGTCTCAGAATTCCCACAGAGAAGCCTTCCTCACTAACACCGAGCCTCATTTCCCAAACACAGAAAGCCTTTGTCCTTCCTTCCTATCTGAAACACCTTTCCCAAATCCCCCTTGCTGGCTTTAGTTCTGATTTTCCTTCAAGACCTAAGTCAGCCTTCACCTACATTAAGAAATTATGCTCATTTCCCATCCCAATTATGTCCTTCCTTCCAAACTGCCCTAGAACCTGTGGTTAGCCCCCCTTCTCTGACACTTGACGGCTTGTACTGTGTATTACTTTGTCTCTCCTGATGCACGTGCCCTGTGTCCTCAGTGTGACTACTTATTTCTGGACAGGTGGGATCTGTTGTATTTTTTCTACCAGAACCTGGGGTGAGAAGTGGGCATGTCATGAGCTGCCATGACAAGTAAGGCCACAAAGCGAGATGGTTAAGAACAGACTCTGGAGTTTGACTGCCAGAGTCTGAATTTGAGTTTCTGCTCCGCCAGCTCATAACTGACCATGGGAAGGGTTCTGTGTTTTTAATGTTTATTTTTGACAGAGAAAGAGAGAGTGAGCGAGTGGGGGAGAGGCAGAGAGAGAGAGGATTCGAAGCAAGCTCCATGCTGACAGCAGCGAGCCCGATGTGGGGCTTAAACTCACACACCATGGGATCCTGAGCTGAACTTATCATGACTGAGCCATCAGGCACCCCAATCATGGCAAGATTTCTGTGCCTTAATGTCCTTATCTGTAAAATGGGAATAATAATGCATCCATGCCCTTGAGTTATGGTAAAGTTGAAATCAGTTAAATAAATGTACTTAGAATAGTATTTGATGATGTTCAATCCATATTTAACACTCAAAAATTGTTAACCTGGGTATTACTGTATATACATGGAATAGTACATCTCAGTGAATTTTGTCAACAATGCTATAAGATAGAACGCATCATTCTGATTCTAAAAAGAGGAAGTCTGTGGCCCTGAGAGGTCAAGTCATTTCCTAAAATCACAAGAGGCAGAATGAGAACCAACATGTATGACCTTAAATCCTGGACTATTTCACTCTTCATGTTGTCTCACACACTGCATGTTGCCTCACACCCTAGTTACTGTTGCTAACAATGAAACGTATAGTTTAAACCAAATTATGCTGTGATTTCACTAGATGTGACCTTGAAAAATCGTCTCAATGTGAAATGTTTCAGTTGACTGTAAATACTTTTCATATGGGCTAATCCAAATGCGGTGGGATCGTAATTGCCTTTTTTTTTGTTGTTCATTTGTCTGGTTTGACTTAGAGGCTAAAATTCAGCTCAACAAGTATTTCTGTTCCCAGGCACTGCAGAAGGATAGAGAAAATACCAAATGGGTAGTTTTGCCATAGGATATTTAACCTATGTGATTCGAGTAATGGAAACAAAGTGGAAACACCTCACACAGTTTTAAAACTTACATTCCTAGGTCCCCTTGAGATCGGCTCTTCCACACTCCCTTCCTCACCCCATGTCATAATATGATTTGGACACAGTACCACTCTCTACAAAAATAATATGTTGGGGTTTGGCTGAATGTTGCCATTCAAAAGTAAAGTAAAAAAAATATATATATAGAAGTTTATAAATCATTGTATTCTATTTGAAATTATTCGGGAGAATTTTCAAAAAGCCCTGTTAAATTTGGCAGACCACCCCCTCTTAGAATATCTTTATTTTCTAGGAAATGAAGTCTGGTTCTTGTTGCTGCCAGAATTCCTTGGCTGCTGCTACTCCATTTGTGCATCTGTAGCACTTAGTGCTGGGATATAGTAGATGATGGATAAATCCTTGGTTCAATGCAATGCTGTCCCCTTACTGATACATTAAATATAATCTGCTCTCCTGGCCCACCACTGAATTACAGAATAACTTCAGAGGTCCTCTGCAGACCTGAAGGAACTACCTTTAGGTGAAGACTCCCCAAGAGATGGAATTGGAAGTACTAACTTTTTTGAACACACTTCCCTTATTCTAAGTTTTTTACTTTTTACATAAACCATCTCATTTCATCATCAAAATAACCCTGTGAAATAGGTCTTATTGTCCCCCCACTTATCAACAAGGAAGCTAAACTTCAGGGTTTAACCAATATATTTAAAAACCACACAGGGGCTCCTGAGTGGCTCAGTCCATTAAGTGTCCGACTCTTGATCTTGGCTGAGGTCACGATCTCAGTTTGTGGGTTTGAGCCCCACGTCGGCCTCTGCACTGATAGCACAGAGCCTGCAACTACTTCTGTAAGTGTCTTTTGTTAAAACTTACCGAGAGGACATCTCTACTGCTGAGATGGAGAATCTGTGATCAGTTGCCCAATTTCATCTGACCAGTTTCAACCGTCAACTATTTCTAAAGATATAAACCTATGTCAATAACACATTTAACTTACTTTTTAAGTAGCTTTCTTAATATTTGAAGTATATCATTATTGTTCATTATTAAACATCTTGATGTTAGAATGGATTGCCGGAATAACGATTGGAGTAATACAGCAGTGAGTGGCTAAATTGGGGAATATTTTTGGAACATAGTCCTAAGTTATAAAGTTATTTTGTAAACTATAAGTCACTACACAAATATTATTTATAAGAATAATTTTTATAATACCTAATTATGTTTTTCTGCAAAGCAGTGAAATATAATAGAGGGAAATTTTCCTACTACCTTTACTTAAAAAATATTCTTGAACATAGGTTCTTTTTTTTTTATTTTTTTAATGTTTTATTTATTTCTGAGAGAGAGACAACATGAGCAGGGGAGGGTCAGAGAGAGAGGGAGACACAGAATCTGAAATAGGCTTCAGGCTCTGAGCTAGCTGTCAGCACAGAGCCCGAAACAGGGCTCAAACCCACAAACTGTGAGATCATGACCTGTGCTGAAGTTGGACACTTAACCAACTGAGCCACCCAGGTGCCCCGAACATGGGTTCTTTAATACAGAATGGGATAGTACCCGAGAGAAGATTCATAAAAATTACAATGCCTACTGTTATAGAGGGACTGTTTTAAGCTAGACATGTTAAAATAGATCATTTTTTAGTCTTCAGAATGTCCCTGCAAGATTTTGTTTTCTTCATAGATCCTCTTACACAGTTTGGGCTCAGATCCATTAATAAACAGACTGGTAAATTAGTCAATGGTGGTACACAATTTAAACCCAGATGTTTTAGACTCCTATACTCATGCTTCTTAACTATTAGGGAACCCATTTTCTCCATAAACGATAGGAAGGAAGATGTAAAAAAGAAAAACTCTCAAAACAAAAACATTAATAGTAGCTACCATTTATTAATGTGCCAGGTACTGAGGTAGGTGCTGCAGGGTGCCCTTTAATTCATTAACCTAACTAACAGCTCCAAAGGGGTTCATTCATCTCAGGTTTTTCAAGTAAATTGGATATTAATATTTTCACTTACCTTATGAGAACTTTAAAGTTCAAAGGCATTGAGTTACTGACCCAAGATGGCACACCCTGTTAACGGCAGAACCATCCTGATGATTTCCAAAATCCTTATTCTTTCTGCAGAATATATAAGCTAAAGTATATTTCTGATTCGTAAAGACTGTGGACTGCTGCATATTTATCTTTTCTTTCCTCTAAGTTTATTCTTAGGATGATTTTAGTTTTGTTTAGAAATTATTGAGCTTTCTGTTTGTAAGGAGCTTTCAGAAAATTATTATTAATTCAGTGAATATACACTACTTTGTGTTTATCCTAATGGTGCCCAAGTTTACATTAAAGTCAGATTTTAACATTATAAATCTCATGTGCTCTGCTTATATTTCATAATCCAGAATTTCACTAAGAACCTAAAAATTAAAACAGATTTATTAGGTTCAGAAAAACTGCCTCGCATGCATAAAGTACTGCTGTGGAATGGCACAAGTTACAAACACAACTGAATAGCTTTCATCCTAATCTTGCAAGAAGCCTAGAGCAGCATTTTGTGTTCATTCATTAAACAAGCGTCTACTGATTGCTAACTATTTTCATAAACTTCGTGGTAGGGAGATTGGCGGATAATAAGAACCCAAGCATCCCTACCCTTAAAGAGCTTTACAAATTAATTAGGGAGAAAAGACATGGAAACCGTTAAGCAATGAAAACTGAAGTTAAGCCATATTGCAACAGTGAAATAAATCATTTTAATACAAAAAGAGAGAGAGAGAGAGTGCTCCAGTTTCCTGGCTAGAGGTGCTGACTACGGGTTGAAGTAGTGAAAAAGGCCTCACAGATGGAAGGCAACGGGCTAGGCAGAGACGATGGATGGTATCCACCAGGCAGGCCCTATGGTGGAAGTAACCAAGCAGCAGACACATTTATTATCCTGAAGGCTTGTGCAGGAGGACTGGAAAAGACAAGATTAGAAAAGCAGGTGAGGCCAGAGAGCCAAAAGCTTTGATTCTAGCTGAAGACTGGCCTTTGGCCCCTAGGGGATGGGGGACTCCTTGATGGTTTTGAGCAGAGGAATGACATAATTAAAATAGTGCTTTAAAAAAGATTAATTTGTCAGGAGTAGGCAGGATGGATTGGTGGAAAGAGAACAGAAGCAGAGAAACTACTGCAATAATTCAGTTCTAAGGTGATGAGGTTCTAGACACAAGTGACGGTGGGCTAGAAGGAAGAATAATGCAAGAGATAGTGCAAAGAAAGGCATGGGAGAGGTGATGACCAGATGTGGGAGACAAAGACACAAAATCTACTAACTCCACATTCTATTTGGGAACTTTTATAGTTTACAAAGTAT